GCGCGAAGGCTTGTACAAGTTCAGGTCTGAATCCTACAGTCGGGTCCTTAACCATTGACGAGGCCGCTCTAGCCAAGAGATACAGAGAATTCAAGGAGGCAACGGCGGATACCGCGGCGATGAGGAGCAGATGTGCAACAATGATTACATACACGCAGTTTCTTCAGTCGCGAAAAACCGGGCGTGTGGTGTCTATGACGGAATCTCAGCCGAGGGATATCGTTGACTATCTTTGCTGGATAGATGCCTGCGGCAAGAGGAGACGTACAGTGGCGCACGCAAGGGAATGTCAAGCGGTGGGCACTTCAAGCTTAGACGCCTGTTCAACCGAGCAGGGAGCATGTACCAAGAGGTATGCTCACGATTCTCTGAGAACGAACAACGTGTCAAAACTGGAGGTGGCTTTCGAGAAGGAGTTGGTGTGCACGCACGATTGGGACAGTCAACGACGAACAGGAAACCCAGTGAGAAGCGAGTTGGTGACACAGTACATGCGATTTACAACGAAGCAGCAAAAGCACGCAGGGGTACTCGTTAAACAAGCGTCAGCGATCTTGCGCAGCCATTTGCATCAGATACTGGTTCCTTTGAGGGCCGAGCTCGATTTTACAACATCAGCGGAGAAGAGGGTGACTTTGGCACGAGATATAGCTTCTTCACAGTAGCGTTTTCCACAACGAAGAGAGGAGACGAGTTGGTAAACACCGCTCCGGAATTCTATGTGACAGGGGTAGGACACGCTCATTCAAGTTGCTTGTAGCGTGACCTTGGATCCGTACAAATAACCTAAACAATGGCTTTTATTAGGTGTTACGTGGTCATTTTTTGGGCTGTCTCCTTTCTCAAAAAGGGACAACTGACCAAGAACCACTTGTTGTTACGTGGTCTTTTTTTGCATTTTTGGACATTCCAAAAAGGGACAGCGAAAAAAGATCACCCCATCCTGTCCCTTTTCGGGCAATTTTGTGCCAGGGTTGGACTGTCCAAAAATGTTGTCCTTTTTTTGAATCTCGCGACACCGTGGACACACCCACACACCCACAAGCATCCCCCATGTGGAAGTGGCTGCCGTCTCTGGCGCTGCTCGCTGGCAGCAGCAGTGGCGCTCGCTTGACTCGAACCTTCAACAGCAGCCCGGGCTCTCTTCCGATGGCCGCCGCCGGTGTGGATGCCCTGCTGCCAGCAACGGCGTTGGCCGTGGCGTTGGTTGCCGTAGATGAGGTCCAACGCAACGACTTGTCGCAGCAGGACCTCTTGGAGGAGGATCCGGCTAACGACCTTCCCCGCGAGAGACTTACGCGGTCGCAGAGACAGAGGAAAGACGTGGAGAAATGCGCTTGGGCACAGCTGTTGGAGGATAAAGACCTAGAAGACAGAACGAGCACCACCGCGAAGCAGTTTCGAGTCGACTTCCGCGTACCCTACACCTTCTTCCTTCGGCTTGTTGCCTTGGTCAAGAGCAAGAACTGGTTCTCGACTGCTGTGACGGACGCCGTAGGTCGGGCAAGCCACCCAGTGGAGCACAAGGTAAGCAGAATAGATGCTGGATTGTTAGAGTGCAGAATCTCTGTCCACAACCAACTAGACTGCTGCAGTAGAACAATGTAGAGTTGGACAAAGCCAGCACGGCAGTTCTTACTTCAACTGCATGCCGTTTCCAGTACACACGTAGCCACTTTGCTCCATGTGCAGGGTGGGCTACTTCGACCTTGGCAGGGTGGTGACATAGAATGGCGGACCAATTTTATGGTCCCTTGGCAAAAACACATCTCAGGGTATACCCTGTTACCCTCGTCGCATTATCACAACCCTCGGGACAGACCCGAGAGCTTCCTCAAGGGGGCACCGTGCAAGGGGGGGGCCTGGCAATGATAACTTCTGCGCAGGGTTAAGCCGAGGCTTCACTGAGCATTTATAGCTAGCTACATGAGCATTCAGTTTCTCGATTTGTTTCGTATTCGGGGTTTGTTCATTCATCATGTTCCTCCTCGTGAATTCAAGCATCGTCCACAATCCTCAAGTCCGGGCAAGCAGCCCCACAAAGCTGTAGCCCGGACTCCGGCTCGGTACATGTTGACTTTCACAATAAACAGAGAATTGTCGAACTTCGGTTTGAATTATGAACATCGGTTTGAGAATTTTCTCGTGGTTGGAGTAAATCGTTCTTTTGACTTGAGGATTGGAATCGAAAACACCGTTTTGATTGCCGCCTTTCCCAAGTCCTCTCCAAAAAAGTAAGTTCCTGGAGCAGCCCCAAACGGCCTCAGGCGAGCTTCTGTGGCGGTGAGAACGTACCCTGGCATGTACTGAGGGGTCAGCTTAGCTTGGCCGTTGCGTTGGGTCCGCCGAGAGATAGAGAAGCAACTCATCGGTGATCAATTGTATTTTTTTAGAGAATAGCAAGAAAACGTGGTGTCGTGTGTGTGTGTGTTTCGCGTACCCTCTCTCTCCCCTCCCGACAACACACACCCTCGCACCTGCACCTGCTGCACATCCGTACAGGCCACCCATACATGGATGTGGTGAGGATCCAAACGTGAGCACTCCTCCCCTCCTCGGGGGCTCGTTCCTTCGCGGTAGAGCTGCTCTTCGGCTGTAGTGTGCACGCACATCCGAGAGAGCTCGCTGCTGTACCCACCAGACCCACCCGCTCTTTCCGTTTCTCGGAACGGATAAACCAAAAAGGCACGCACGTGTGTGTGTCCCCACAGCCTCGTCCGGGCGGCCACCGCCGTAAACTGCTAACGGGTGATGATCTATCTGATGTATTTGGTTGCATTGTTCGAGGTAAGGTAAATAGTGCAGCAGCATCCCAACGCCCTCTCCGTGCTGCTCCGTTCGCCCCCAGTCTGATCTGAATCGACTCCTTCGACAGCAGCACCTGATCTCACCACGTCACCTCATCAAGCAGCAAGCAACCACTCGGAGGAATACTTTAGTTAAAGGCACGCACGTGTATGTGTCCCCAGCCTCGTCCGGGCGGCCACCGCCGTAAACTGCTAACGGGTGATGATCTGATGTATTTGGTTGCATTGTTCGAGGTAAGGTAAATAGTGCAGCAGCATCCCAACGCCCTCTCCGTGCTGCTCCGTTCGCCCCCAGTCTGATCTGAATCGACTCCTTGGACAGCAGCAGGACCTGATCTCACCACGTCACCTCATCAAGCAGCAAGCAACCACTCGGAGGAACATTTTATTTGTTTCGTCAAGCACCCGAGCCGTGCTCGGCACTCGGCACCCGAGAGAGCAGCGGACAGGGTGTATCCAGCTGAGCGAGCTGGGTCTTTCGAGCAACCTGGGAGCACACCTTTAGTTCATACTGCTGTGCCGGTGAGTGGAGAGAGAGAGAGCACACTCTTTCGCAAGGCAGATGGATAGTTTGCCCAAGGAGACGTCCTTGTCTTTCGGTGTTTGTACTTGAAAGAGAGGGATGGAAAGAGAGAGGGCCCTACCCTAGCATCGAGGCGTGGCACGTTGGCACGACCACCTTAGTGCAGTCACCACTCACTCCCCGACAGTCTGGAGGTAGGCAGTCCCATCAGGTATGGTTCTTGGATTTTCATCGCACAGAGTGGGTGGATGCGGTATGACAGGTGGTACGTGCGATACTGAGTAAAACAAAACCCCGACAGCAGCAGTCTCGCGCATGACGCCTACTGCTGTACTACGACACCGTTCACGATACCGCGAAGTACCTCCTGCTCAGCGAGGGCCCTGGAGCCACTTAACAGGGGCTCGGTATCGGTGATACCGTGCGATATCACCGAACGCCGTGCGTCAATCGAGTTACCTCGTTTTTTTTCCGCCGCAGTCAAATAATAATAAGCAGTTGTCTCTCCTTTGTCGTAAAATACATAAAAGCTGTCTGTTCTCACAGGTGCTACCGGGTCCACGTTGAACTTGTTGAACTTGTAACAGCCGGCGTCTTTCTGACGCCAACATGATTGATAACGTTGGAGCGAATCCACAGCCACACCAACGCTGCCCCTTCCAACTCGTGGTCGGTCTTACTGCATTGATTGCCCCCTCCGTGACTTATATCAAAGGATCAGCTGTTCCGCCAGAGTATAGTCTACAGCAGTAAGTGTTTGTGGCACAACTAGCGCGCAGATAGTCGTGCGCATCTCTACCGCCTTTGGTTGCGACTACTTTTTTGCTTGGACCACCTCATCTCTCTGCTCTTGCCATAGCTTTATTGACGGAGTATTATGATTATTGCAGGCGCTCCCGTTGGCCCTTTACGACCAGTGACAAGTCTGCCGCTCTGTACCCCCGTCTCCTGCAATGTTCGTTATCCTGTGTGCTGCCGTGCGCCCCCCTCCTCGCAGGCATGAATTCGCTAGTTGACGAATCGTTTCAAGGCCGTTGGAAGGTTCCGGCTTGTAACCTGGACCTGTCGTTTAGAGGGAGACCATTGCGTCCTGACGGCGTGGCACGGATAAGGCAGAGCATCATGTCCAACGGCTGGGTTGACACACGTATCATCGCCTGCCGACTTGCTGGTGACAATGGTGTGTTGGACGAGGCCACGGCGAAGACAAAGCCCCTGAGAGTCATAGATGGGCGCCACAGGTATCTACTATGGTGCATGCATTAGGTGGAATATGGGTGTGTGTATTTTTAGTGTGTTCGCCCCGTGTTGTACTTGGCGCCAGTCTACTAACCAGTGCGTTTACCACCGTGGCTCAAAAAGCGGGCTCCCACAAAAAGAAGGTAGGTATAGTGGCCCACAGCAGAAGAAACGAATCGCCCACTAACCGGCGGCAGTCGCTGCCGTTGTTTTTCTCGCGACAAGGACTGCGCCGTCCCTATCGATCGGCCGTCGACCTCGAAGCGGCAGCACACTCGCATGATTGAAGTTATTCATTTTTTTCGGGGATGAATTTGTAGCAATTATATTGGCGAGTCACAGTTGAGTCGACTTGTGACAGCAGTAACGAGAGAGGGCCGGGAAGAAAGCGGTGTTCGCGCTCGCTCGAGGCTAGGAATAGTCCCCATGTCATGATGGAACAGGACAACGAGTTCCACGTGTTCCTGCCAGGACAAGTAAAGGCCTCCACTTGCTGTGTTTTTTGTTTGTACTGCAACAGATGCGCAGCTCTTGTTGCACTCAACGCCGCCAAGGATTCAGGACAAGAGATCTGCCCGCTCGTTGATGTTCATAGTGCAGTGGACGCGGATACGGAGAGGTTGATAGCTGCAAGTAAGTGTGTGCAGATGGGTTGGTTGTTTCAGCCTTACATTATTCCATGGCAGCGTGTACGTTCCGGCAGCCTGAACTGCAGAAACCGTTTGTGTTTGTTGTCGACATACTGGGTTTGGTTTGCACCTTACTATCTATGTGTTCATTTCAGGACTGCCGATGCCAGGCACAGAGAGAGGCGGCCTTTGTTTAATCACCAAGGAGCGTGAGAGTAGACAAGTCTGCTGTGTGTGTGCGTGAAAACAGAACACGAGGAGACTGAAACTCAATGGACCATATGACATGAACGTACAACCCTAGACTTAGCCCCACCCATAGCATTTGGCATGTCCGGTTGTCCGGGTTATTTGGTTGTGCCGAGGAGTCCAGCGATGCCCTTTCTTTTTGTTCTAC